GTGGATGGACATCTAGGTTTTTTCCATAGTTTGGCTATTGTAGACATCGCTGCTATAAACATTCAGGTGCATGTGCCCCTTCGGATCACTATGTTTGTAACTTTTGGGTAAATACCCAGTAGTGCAATTGCTGGGTCATAGGGTAGTTCTATTTTCAACATTTTGAGGAAACTCCATGCTGTTTTCCAGAGTGGTTGCACCAGCCTGCATTCCCACCAACAGTGTAGGAGGGTTCCCCTTTCTCCGCATCCTCGCCAGCATCTGTCATTTCCTGACTTGTTAATTTTATTGGCTGGATATTCTTGCTAATATTCTGGAAGAGGGGCCTGCTGCAGTGATTCTCAAATGCCTTTGCCAGAGGTGGAATTGCACCACCCTTGCCAGGGGCCAGGCTAAGTAATCTTCACAGTTTTGGTCTCAGGAGCTTTTGTTTCCTGAATGTTGTCCATAGAGCTTCAGAGGAGGGGAATGAAAATGGCAACCTCCCAATCTCCTGCCCAAAGGAGCAGAGAGGTCAGGGCCCCACTCCTCAGTGTAACCTCTGAGAAAAGCAGTTAATCCCTCCTGATTCCCTGGTCTCCAGCCACGCCCAGAGCTCACCCAGCCTGTGACCAAGCATTTCTATCTCTGGTGCATGGCCCTGTTTGGGGTCTCCAAAACCAGCAGATTCCTGCCTTGCTGCTCCTCCCAGAGGAGTAAGGTGAGTCTTCCCAGATCTGCCACTTGTGGGGTTCCTGCTGGAAGAGCAGTGGCCTAAGCACACTGTCCCCGTGAGGGCTCCACCCTCCACTTAGCCTCCAGAGCGACAATCCTCCACGGAGCTGACTTCTAAAAGATCCGATTCTGTGCTCCATTGCTCTATCACTTGCCAAGAGCCAGCCCCTTCCCCTGCAGTCTCTCTTCCCATATATTGCCTGAGATTCACTTCTCTGCATGTCCTATCATCTGGAAAGTGGTCACTTTTCTGTTCCTAGAATTGCTGCTCTTCTTCTCTTTGATCTCCTATTCAGTTTGTAGCTGTTCAGAATGGTTTGATATCTATCTAGCTGAACTCCTGGGATCTGTTGAAATTTAAGCCTCCTACCCCTCTGCCATCTTGCTCCTCCTCTTGTTTTTGTTTTTTCAGGTGTGACTTTTCTGCTGCAGGGGCACCTTGGTCAGGAATAATATCAATCTTCCTGAAACTTACTCCTTTTTCCTTCCCTTTCTTCCAACTCAGCTGCATTCCCTTCTCCTTCCATGATGAAGTCAGGACTAGAACCACAAGCCAACAGCCATTTTTCTGGAGTCCAGAATATCAGAGCTGGCAGAGAACAAAGCCCATCAAATCCAAAATGCCTAACTGACAGATGAAAAAACTAAGACACAGAGAGGGGAAGCGACTTGTCCTTCATTACTCAGTATCAGGACTTATCCATATGTTCTGATGTCAACACTGGTGCAATTTCTATCACTAACAGTCTATACTTGTTTTGGTGTTGTCTTTTCTCCCCTCAAACCTCACCTTCTTCATGATACCTAGGTGTTGGTCTATGGCTATGGGACAAGACTAAGGTCTAGACTGGGGGACTCAGGAGAGGAGAGTGAGGAGTGCATGAGCTTTGGAGTAAGACTGCCTGGGAATAGTACATGCACAGTAAATATTTGTGTAAATATTTGGGGATGAGTAAATGGTATTAAATTTTAATTTTTCAGTTTTGATAAGTTTTTCCAAGCCTCATATAAAAATGAGATAATATTTCCCTCATAGAACCACTGTAGGAATTAAAATTTAAGCAAAAAAATGTGTGTAAAGCCTTTACACAAAGCACCAATGCCATCATATGTCATCTACAAAAGGTTTTATTGATAATGAACTTGAACAGTCTGTGAAGTTATTTATATAAGAAACATAATTATCCTGGGACGCCTGGGTGGCTCAGTTGGTTGGACGACTGCCTTCAGCTCAGGTCATGATCCTGGAGTCCCGGGATCGAGTCCCGCGTCGGGCTCCCAGCTCCACGGGGAGTCTGCTTCTCTCTCTGACCTTCTCCTAGCTCATGCTCTCTCTCACTGTCTCTCTCTCAAATAAATAAATAAAATCTTTAAAAAAAAAAAAAGAAACATAATTATCCTGGCTACTTACTTCTGTGACAGCAAATTGATTTTATTCTATGTGTTGTTTCTTGTTGATTTTTAAAGCTCTTTGAGTCATAAAAGGTGCTTAGGCCTTGCTCAGATTCTGTTGAAAAAAAAAAAGTGTCACGACTGTTTAACAAGTTGTCCTATTGGCGTGGGCTAGCTCTGAGGTAGCCCTTCCCCTTGCAGAGGTCATTAGCAAGTGATGCTGACAATAGAGACTTAGACTACAGTGGCAGCTGCTTTCTTCTT